CAGTGGTTCAATCGATGATGATGAGAGGAATGAATGAGTGACGCTCGATCAGGCACTTGCAATTTCATTATTCTAGCAGGTCCTCACATGCACATTCCGTTTCCGGCAGTGAATATTACAGAAAACGTACATTTTTACTAATTATAATTACTGCATACTATTACTTTGAAATTTTTTCCCGCTTGTACCTGTCGTGTCCTCACTCTAATCCAGAGTCACTTCAGAGTCACTTATATGTGTGATGTTTGTGCCACAGAAAGCGAATGAGCCGAGAAAAGATTAATAACATTTAGCATCAGCCGTTTTTTCTCCAGTGCAAATTCTTTTTCCAGTTTTGTCAGTGCAGCCAACTGATTTTTGGAGTCAAAGGAAGGAAAGAGAAGAGCAAAGCAAAGAGTAATGGAGTGGGATGTCAAAAAAATGGATTTGACACAGTGGGCTGGCGTTAGTGACTNGTTTGGAGTCAAAGGAAGGAAAGGAAAAGGAAGAGAAGAGCAAAGCAAAGACTAATGGAGTGGGATGTCAAAAAAATGGATTTGACACAGTGGGCTGGCGGTGGTGGTGACTGTGGTGTGTGGTGGCCATTGAGAAGTCGCTTTTTACACACACTAAATTGGACTCTTTTTTTCTCAATGGGCAAAAAAGGCAGAAAATGCTGTCGGCTTGCCGTTGCGTGCCTGTCACCAGCAGGGCAAAAATTGTCGACCGCAAACACACACACATTCACAGTCGCCGAGTGCACAACTACCAACGAAAGAGTGTTTCCCTCTCATTACTCTTTTCACGTGCAAAGAAAAGAAAATACCAACCAAGAAGGTGCCAACCAGCTAGACCAGAGTACCTTTTACCCTCACTCAATTCTTCAGCGAATTCGGTAGAATGCAGGCTAAAAAATGTAAAAGAAGAAAGTCTTTTTTCAAATTATTATCTCGCACTTTCTTACACATTGCATTTCAGTTATAAATGCCCTTGCCAAGCGAAAAAGAAAAAAGAGAGTTTTTTGCAAGAGAATCTCCATTGTTTTTTCTCCTTCAGTGCTAGCCCTGTCTTTTTTATTTTTTATTTTTTTGCTGATCAAGCCATTTGTTTCATTTATCGATTGAGACTGCTGCCGCCGCCGCCGCAGCCGCCGCCGCCTCCGCCGATGCTGTGAAACAAATTAAATTTCCTTAAAACGTGTACCTTTCCTCTTCTCCTCTTCTTCGGCTCTCTTCCCTTCCCTTCAGTGCAGATATAATCGTCTCAACTGAGAAAAAGAGAGTGAGACTGTGAGAGAGCCAATTGCCTCTCGCAACTTATTTTTTTTCTTCGTTTTGAGGTGCTCAAAAAGAAGAATAGAATGGGGAGCAATTTTTTTTCAACAGTAGACAGGGCAGGCAGGCAGCCACTCACCGACATTGACGGGGTTTTTCCTTTCCTTATTTTTTTCTTCTTTACTCACCAACTAACCAAACAACACAAAAACCCGTCTGCCATCAGATAGACAGCAGCAAGACAGGACGGGAACAAAAAAATATTTTGTCGATATCGGCCCACCATTCCATTCCACTCTATCCCTGGCGCATCACTCGCTTTTACTTTCCCTTTTTTCCTCCATTCAGTTTTTTAGTTTCCACTTTGTTGCGTGTTTTTTCTCAGTTTTTGAGGGAACATCCTGGCAGCCGCCACATCCTTTCTCGCAGTCCGGTAATTGCAGGTACAACTACTACTACCAGCACTATTTAAACTGCTTGCATAAAGTGACTGTTTGCTACTCTCTTTTCTCATTTTTTCTTCTTCCTTTCCTGATCGATGCCACAGTAGGCCAATCGATAGATAAGAGAAGGAGAAAATACGAGAGACAAACGTACACCTAGACAAGCCACCAGTGAGTTGCACTGAGAATATTCTGTGCAGCGTCCTTTTCTTTCTGTTCTTTGCAGTGAAGTGAGATGCTTTACTGCTTTTTTGGGTTTTAAAAAGGAGAGACTACTGTTTTTGTGGCAACCATTTAATTTTGTTTGTTGCTGAAAACTTTTTTGATTGCAATACAGACTATGGGCTAACTAATTAACGGGCAAAAGAAGGAGTAAAAAAGAAGGTTCTAAAAGCAAAATGATCCAAACTTGCAAAACTGCTGCTCCCTTTTCCCACCCAGCACTTTTAGTACCAAATCCTCTTCCCTTTCAATGAGTGTCCAAATGAACCAATCTATATCGCGTTGATTATTTCCCTTAACTTTTATCAAACCATTTTTCCCCTTGTTGCAAAATAACACATGGTTTGAGCGAATCAGCATGATGGCCATTCTCCTCAACTGCGTGACGCTGGGCATGTACCAGCCCTGTGCCGACGACGCCAGCTGCACCAGTCCTCGGTGTCGGGTGCTGCAGACCTCCGATGACATTATCTTCGCCTTCTTCGCCGCGGAGATGGTCATCAAGATGCTGGCCATGGGCATTGCCGGCAGCGCCAACGCCTACCTCAGCGACAGCTGGAACCGCCTGGACTTTTTCATCGTCATGGCTGGGTAGGAAAAGCAGTTTTTAAAATATAGGAAATTTTGCTAATTTTTTTGTTTTTTAAAAAAAAATTAGTGCTCTGGAGTACTCGGTCACCTCCATCAACATGAACCTCTCGGCAATAAGGACGGTGCGCGTGCTGAGGCCGCTGCGGGCAATCAATCGCATTCCAAGTAAAACTCTTTTTTGGGGATTTTTTTTATTTAGTAGTGAAACTGGCTAATTTGTTCAACCAACTTTTTTTTCAGGCATGCGGATTCTGGTGATGCTGCTGTTGGACACTTTGCCGGTAAGTTCGGTTCACTCTTTCTTTTTTTTGGTGGAATAAGTTTCTGCAGCAGCAGCAGCAGCAGCAGCTGAGGATGACAGCGCACCACCACCACCAAGACTAGACGCACACTTTTAGCACCTCTCTTTTTTGGTTTTTTTCTAACCAACTAACTAACTAACCGCACTAACTACTCACTTTTCCCCCTCCTTCCTTTAGATGCTCGGCAACGTCCTCCTGCTCTGCTTCTTCGTCTTCTTCATCTTCGGCATCATCGGCGTCCAGCTGTGGGCCGGTCTGCTTCGTCAGCGCTGCCACTTGAGCCTGCCCGAGAACGTCTCCTTTCCCAATGGGTAAGTGGAATTTTGGCGGAAAATAAAGAGCGTCAAGTTGTGGTAAAAGGTCTAGAAAAGAAAACTTGCAGTTGATAGTGGTAGTAAAAGTGAAAGTGTTGTACTTTTTTCATCACCCGGAAAAAGCTGGAAAAAAACAAGCGACCTTGCAACGACACCAAAACAGCAAAAAGCTACCAAAACTTCGCGTCTACACTTTTTTTCTTCTGGATGGCGGAAAAACCGGAGTACACACTTTTACACACACTTTTACTATAATCAATTTTAATTTTGTCGCAACTACTTTTAGTAGTTACTAGAACCAGGAAAAAACAGGAAAAAAGTTTAATTTTTGCAGCGTGTAGCAGGAGAAGAAGGACGAAATCAGGGAAAAACTAAAGGAAAAAAATGTGTGTGTTATGTGTGTGTTGGTGTGTGTTTGCCTAGCAGGTCGTACAGGCTTGTTGTACAGAACTAGCACTGCCGAGTTTTTTTTCTGCTGTCAGTCAGAGGGTACATGAAGCAGAAGAAAAATGAGGAAGCCAGCAAAAAGGGAAAAGAGACTGCTGCTGCTGTTGCCGTTACGTTCTTGAGACTTGTCTACGGCAGAAGAAGAAGAGGAGGAGGAAAGAAAAAGTAGACAAGGTGCTAGCCTGGCCAGGCCTCTCAGTCTCAACCGATTTCTGACATACATCTTTGGTGGTCGAGTAGGTTGCCTCTATTGGCTCTCTCTCTCTCTCTCTTTCCTGTCATCTACACCACACACATTTTCCAGCGTTTTTTCCGGGCACAATATCTGCCGAGGCGAAATCTGCACTACACCACAGAGCACTGGCCATCTTCTATCTTGATTACTATTATGGCCGTGCCTGGTGATGCCCTCCTGGCCGACATCCTCCTGAGTTTTGTTACAATTTTTTCTTTATTTCCATTTTTTATATACTTTTCAACCATTGTTTGGCCAGACTTATTCATGCGTGAAAAGAAGAACGAGTGGAGAGAGAGAGAGAGAGAGAGAGAGAGAGAGAGAGAGAGAGAGAGAGAGTTTAAACAAAGCTGAAAGATTTGGCACCGGAAAATGGCCGATTAGATTGTTGTTTCGTTTGCTGTGCTGCTGCTGCTGCTGCATTTAAAATAGATCTGCCATTTTTTCCTTTTTCGTTCATCTGTTTTCAAAACTATTATTGCCTTTTCAAAAAAGCTAAATATGGTGTTTGAGGTGTGAGAGTATGGGGAAAATGAGCCAAAAAAGCGTTAACTGCTTTCTAAATAGAAATACGTTAGTGTCCATTTACCCATTTACTGCGTCACCGTTTGAACGAGTATGTTACCTACCAACCAGGCAAAAAGGTATCAGTGGCAGCAGTGTGAAGGTACTAAAAAAGAGCTAAAAAGGCAAATAAAGGCACTTTTCTATTGAATTTCGTTTCCCTTTTTCTCCACTCTCACTTTCACCTAATAATATGATTACCCATTTATTAGTGGCGACACTACTACTGCTGGTTACCAGAATTACTGGAAATAGCAGCAGTAACCGCTCTGGTAGCTTTTTCCAAAGTCACTACTAACCGAATTAATGACCGAATGGAGCCAAATTCTCTCTCCCCGAGTTCATTTTATATAGTGAAGAGCAGCAGCAGCCTCAGTTCATTAGCATCGAGTCCATTTGTTCGCCATCCGTTCATTGTGAGCATTACTACTACTGCCATTACGACTTTTTCCTCCCTTACCTTGCCTTACCTTGATTCCCTCTTTTTCCACTTTGCTATTAACGACGGCAGACGACGGTGTCCTTTTTTAGTTTGGAATGTAGTTGTTGTTATGGCTGCTGCTGCTGCTGAGTGCCCATTTACCAGACGGTCAAAAGGGGTTTCTTTTAGTTGTTGTTGTTGTTGCTACTGATGATGTTGATGTTGATGTTGATGGTGTGTGTGTGTGTGTGTGGTAACCGAATAAGGAAGTGCTACCTTTCTACCTCAGTTGCTGATGGTCATGATGGAATTTAGTGGTTCAGACCACAACAGACGACCTACTTTTATAAAATTCAGTGGTTTGGTTCAACTCTTCTACTTTTAAAAGTCATTCATTCAATTTTATTTAAATACATTGTATAAAAAGTTCTGCTAGCGACAGGACATCGTTTGCAGCATTGAAACGTGCTTTTATGTGTGTGTGTGTGCCAGACGACGGTAAAAAACCAAAAGTACCTTTTTCTTCCTTTTTTCACCAAGTGAACTGCAAGTGTCACCTCTTTTTAGTTCCCTTCTCAAGTCTACGTAAATTTCTCTTTTCTACCCTTTCAACCAACCCTTTCTCCTTTTCCTCATTCACTCTCCATTCAATTTTACCCCATTGCATTGCATTCCATTCTTTTTCACCCATTTCTCTTACAGCCCCCATCGACCGGGACCGATCTTCGTAGCGCGCAAGCAACTGTCGTAGTAAGCACCTTCTTTCACACAGTTTGCCTCTGTCTGTGTGTTATCGTGAGACGTACAGACGAGCTGCTTTCACTTTCTTTCTTTCTGTGCCTGCTTTCACTTTCTATGCCCCTGCTTTTCCTTCCTTGGAGCAAGAGGCAGCACCAGCAGCAGTCTTCCTAATTGGATTGCCGTCGTCTCTGTCTGCCTGTCTCTCTGTCTGCAGCAGCTTCGATCAGCTGCTGCTAACAGTGCGATAAATAGCTGCTCGCAATTAGTGGCCAGTGCTGATGCAGCAGCAATGGCAGCAATGGCAACGGCAACGGCAACTCCGGTGCACCACTCTCATCACCGCCGACTGTGAACGTGCTCAGACTGCTGCTCAGGCGGCGGTGGAGGCAGGCTTCACTGCACTGCTTTTTCTATGTTTTCTATGTTTTTCCTCTTCTTTCCCCTTACCTGCTGCTGGCTTCTCCACTCAGGATTCTTCTCTACTACCTCTACTTTTTTTACTTTTGCTTTTGCTTCCTCTGCTGCCTAATTTGCATGAGAGGATGCTGCTGCTGCTGTTGTGGCATCGATTCGCTGGTCGCATCATCATCATCATCATCACCGCCGTCCTTGGTGGTGGTGGTGGTGGTGGCAAAGAATCGTGCGGCACTATCCTTTTCTATTCTTTTCCTCCCCTAGCTCTCTATCTCTCTCTCCTCCACACGACAATCTACTGTCTGCTGGCAATTGTCTGCTGCTTTTTTCTTTTTTCTCTGTTGTGTTGGTTGCTGATTCTTTTTCCCGTAATTGTCGGCATTTCCCTTGCTTGTTTCTCACTTTCTTTCTCCTCCCTTCTCTCTTTTTTCTCCCGCTCGTAATAATAATATTTGTCTAATCTAATTCGCGCCAATTTGAGCACACCGTTCGTAGGACGGCGACGATGACAACGACGACGAGCAAGTGAGGACGCCTCACTGACGCTGCTGACATCATTACAACATTACAGCTTACTGGCTGATGCATCTTCTTTTTTGTTTTTCGCGTTGTTTTTTGTTTTCCACTACTGCTGTTTTTTCCTTTTCTTTTTTATTCTATTCTCACACTCTAATTGAAATCACCTCAATATGGTGCTGACCTTTTTTCCTCTTATTTTTTCTCCTTTTTTTGCCGCTAAGTGGGTTATCATTACACCACCTTCGTCTTCTCATTAATACGAAAGAGTTGTAAACGATAACGATAACGATAACAATAATCATAATCGTAACAGCTTGTGTGTGTGCGAATGGCTCTTTCGAATCTTTACCCCCTTAACTGGCTCAATCGGTGCAATTTATGTTTATCGCCGTAATCAAACTGCTTGCGAACAGATAACGAGGAGAGCTAATGCTAACGCTAATGTTTAATAATCACCTAATCGCAGCTGCTCATTAACACGCTGTTTTACACATCGGTGTAAACCTTTTGTTTTTTCATTTCGAATAATCTAATCTCTGTTGTCTATTTCCACCCCACCCACCCCTTTCAGCTCCATTGCCTCGTACTACCAGAATGAGGACGGCGACAAGGACTGGATCTGCAGCCTGGACAAGGACAACGGCATGCACCGGTGCACCAACCTGCCCAACCGCCGCTTCTACCACCTCGAGTGCCAGGAGCCGGCCCGGCCGCCGCCGTTCACCAACGAGCCCAATGACACCAGCTGCGTCAACTGGAACCAGTACTACACGGACTGTCGGCCGGGCGAGGAGAACCCCTTCCAGAATGCCATCTCCTTCGACAACGTCGGCATGGCCTGGACCGCCATCTTCCTCGTCATCTCGCTGGAGGGCTGGTCCGACATCATGTACTACGTCCAGGATGCGCACTCCTTCTGGTCCTGGATCTACTTTGTGCTGCTCATTGTGGTAGGCTTCGCTTTTTTCCTGTTTCAAGTTCTATTTCTCACCTATTTCCACCCACCACCACCGCCACCACCACCATCTTTAGATTGGCTCCTTCTTCATGATAAACCTCTGCCTTGTTGTGATTGCCACGCAGTTCTCGGAGACGAAGAAGCGTGAGATGGAGCGAATGCGCCAGGAGCGGGCGAGGTAAGTCTTCTGCTGCAGAAAAAAAGTTTGATTACTGATTCAATAAAATACCGCTAAACTCTATTCTATCTTGGCACCACTTCTACAAAAACAGAGCCCACTCGCTGAGCACGCTCGCCAGCTTCAGCGTCTCCGAGCAGCTGAACTGCTACGCGGCCATCATCCACTACCTGGCCCATCTGGCGCGCAAGGTCCGCCGAAAGGCCTCCCAGTGGACGGTGCTGTACTTTCGCAATCGACGGCGGAAGGCGAAACACAAAGCGGCGGCGGCGGCGACGGCAGCTGCCGGAAAAGTCGTCGGCGGATCAGCCGCCCTGGTGGTCCTCGAGGAGCAGCAGCAGCAGCAGCAGGGCTTATCCCAGCCGCCAAGGGGTGCCAAGTTCTGCGCCTGCTGCAACCGCGGCGTCCAGCGGCAACGGGCGACGGTGCGCTACTGCGGCAGCGGCGGCGGCAGTACCACAAATTCGCCCGGCGGAGGAGGAGGAGGAAGCCTCGCTAAGAGCCTGAAGAAGAAGAAAAAGAAGAGTAGTAAGACGGCGAAGAGTAGAGCCTCAAACAGGGAACAGCAACAGCATCAACAACAGGGCGGTGAACCGTCTTCCACATTTGAGGAGGAGGAGGAGGAGGAGAACAACCTCCCTAGTGAAGAAGTTTCTTTTCAGCAGTCGAGAATGAGGAGAAGGACTTCTTCTTCGGCGGGCGGTGGCGATGAAAATGAGGCCGAGGCGGAGGCTATATCGACCGCACTGGTCCCCGGAGCCGCCGCCGCCGCCGAAGCAGCTCACCTTTCTCACTCTTCTTCGTCATTTCGAAGACGAAGTAGCCAACCGACCACCACCACCTCCAGCGATTCACCTCCTGCAAATCTCAGCTCAGTTAGTAGTTCAGGAGTAGCAGCAGCCCCTCTTCAACCGATTAGGAGTAGCCTGAAGAATGGTAGCAAAAACGGTGCTAAGACGAAAACAAAGTCATCTTCAGGTAGAAAGCATCAGCAGCAGACGGCAGACGTAGACGTGCTTCGGCCTAGGCTAGACTCCTCCTCATCGTCTGCACTTCCACTTCAGCCACCACCACCACTACCCACACACCAAACACAACCTGAAACGTGCGACCTTCTTCTACCGATATCAACAACGACTACGCCCTTGCTTACCACCCATCATCATCATCATCATCAACAACAACACCACCACCACTCCATTCACAAGTCCCACTCAAAGAGCTCCGTACTGCATCCAATCCACAGCATTGATAGTAGCGTTTCTATTTCTAATTCTAAACATAGTAAGGATGATGGCAGTGATGTACAGCAGTGCCTCGAGAGCGGTTCGGCTGCAACAGAATCAGCAGCAGCAGCAGCAGCAGCAGCAGCAGCAGCTTACAGCCGAGCCAGCCGACACTGTTCGGCGCCCAATCTTTACACCCACTACTATCATCACCATCACCATCACCACCACCCCCACCAGCTTCCTGGTCACCACCACAACCCTCTTCCTACTTCTACTTTTCCTGCGCACAATTCACACGTCTTCCCTCACTCTGTTTCCGATCGAGCCAAACCACTACCACCACCACCCCCACAGCATCATCATCATCAGTTGGTGGCCGCCTGTGATATGATCACCAGCATCAAGGACAACTCCAACGAGTTGCACAACTCTACCATTCTCCGTCTACCACCTACCACCGCCCCCTCATTCTCTTCCATTTCTCCCAATCCGCCCATCAGTACTGCCACCAGCCACTATCACCACCAACAACACCAGCCACTACAGCATCGCAAATCTTCTCAGTGTTCCCAATCGATCAGCTGGGAGGACTCGTCGACCTCTCCAAACGGACAGCAGCAGCAGCACCAGCAGCTGACCTGCATCGGGGCCGGCGGCGACGTCCTCTGCACCATTGAGCCAGCGTCGACGGACGAGTCGAGGAGGAATCAAGGACCTCAAGGACAGTGCTCGCCCTCTCGCAGTGGCAGCCCCTCTCATCAACAGGAACAGCACCAGCACCTCTACCACCGAAAGCCGCCGAACAAGGGCAGCTGTGAGCGCCATCACCACCACGGTCATCAGCATGGCCATCAGCATGGCCAGCACACCCATCACCATCACCTCATGCGGAAGAACAGCGCCTCCAGCAGCGTCTTCAGCAGCCGCAGCCACCTCTCCTCGACGCGGCGCACCTCCTCGGCGGCCTCCTCCGCCATTCTAAACTGCCGCCGGCGGTGCTGCCCCCGCCAGTCCTCCCGACTGCTCTCCTGCCTGTGGGCCTTCTGGGGGCGGCTGCGGCGGGTGCTGCAGCGCGTCGTGGCGCACAACTACTTCAAGCGGGCGATCTTCATGGCCATCCTCCTCAACACCTTCTCGATGGGCATCGAGTACCACAACCAGCCGCCTAGTCTGTCGCACGCCGTCGAGATCAGCAATGTCATCTTTACGGGTGAGTTGCTTTTTCAAAAGAGAGCGTATTTCAATTGCTAACACTATCTATCCCCCCCCCCATTTTCCTAGCCATCTTCTGCTGCGAGATGGTGCTGAAGCTGCTGGCGGACGGCTTCTTCCAGTACGTGAAGAGCGGCTTCAACGTCTTCGACGGCAGCATCGTCATGCTCAGCCTGCTGGAGCTGCTGGAGGAGCACGGCAGCGGCCTCTCCGTCCTGCGCACCTTCCGCCTGCTGCGCATCCTCAAGCTGGTCCGCTTCATGCCCGCCCTGCGCCGCCAGCTGGTGATCATGCTGCGCACCATCGACAACGTCGCCGTCTTCTTCGCCCTCCTCATTCTCTTCATCTTCATCTTCAGGTAAATGGGGAAAAGCTGACTGTCGGGTTGACAGATGACAAATGGCAACTGGCACAGCAACTGCTTCCGAATTTTTTTTTGTGTGTCGCCATTTGTGGTGATTAGAAGCTAGCACAGTTAGCAGGGCACACCTTTTCTTTTGCTTTGCAAACAAAAACTTTTCCGCTACTAACCTCAATTTTCCTTCTTTCTCTTTTCTCTTTCCCTTCTCCGCCTTTCCTGTCAATTCCTCCCTGTCAACCTTCATTTTCTCTCCCCGTTCTTCAGTATCCTTGGAATGAATTTGTTTGGCTGCAAGTTCTGCCGTAAGAATCCCACTGACAACTCAACGCACTGTGATAGGAAGAACTTTGATTCGCTCCTCTGGGCGCTCGTCACGGTCTTTCAGGTGAGTGTTGCGGGGAGAGAGGGAAGGGGGCAACTGCTCGACGTGCCTGCTGCTCACTTTTTACTGTCAAATGTTGGCTGGTTGGTTCAGTTATTATTGGTTTGCTTTTCGGTAGAGCGAGACAAATAGTGCCATCATTGCCAGTCATTTTAATTTTTTATTTGTTTTAGTAGCAGCAAATAGTTTTTTTGCAACGGTTTCGGGCCGTCTTTCACCACCACCACCACCATCTGCCCAGCACTGATTTTCTTCTTTTTGTTCAAGTGGGCATTGCTGGTGCTTCCGTCGTCAGTGACACACACACACACACAATCTGCCAACTTTTTTCGGCGTCTCGGTGTGGTTCGATGGGGGCTGCTGCAGCTGCTGCTGCTGCTGCTTTCTTGGATCCCTCTGAGACCTCTGATAGCAAAGGCAGCAGTGTGGCCATCTGATAAGGATTCATTAAGCGACGGATGAAAAAGAAAGAGGCAGCCAGCCAGCCAGCCAGCCAGCCCAGTCATCTGGTCATGGCGCTGTGATGCGTGTCCGTGCTGCAGACCTAGTCGAACTTTGGTACTTCTTCTTCTTCTTCTTCTTCTTTTGCTCGTTTAGTTGCACCACTAACCGATCGGTAGCACCGCACCGCACCACACCAATCGCTGGTGGTGCCTGTGTGTTTTTGTCAGTTTTCAGCCGTCTTTTTCTCCTTTTCTCTTCTTTTATTTTTTGCCCTAATAGCGAGGCTTTTACTTTTTTTCACCGCCGTACACTTTATTGATTTATTGCATCTGCTGCTGCTGCTGCTGGGTCTGTGCTGTTCCATCTCCTCCTCCCCCTTACTCTATTACTTCGCTTTTCCTACCTTCTTGGTATACCTCAGGTTACTGCTGCTGCTGCTGCTGCTGGTTGGTTTGGCAGTGGCACGAAATTTTGCTTTTGCTGCTATCTGCATGCCTTCATCTATCAGCGAGCGCTCTTTCAGCTGCTGCTGCTGCTGCTTTTTTGCTTGCTTGCTTGCTTTTCTTTCATTGCTCTGATTTCCAAAAACCGATTTGATTTTTTCATTTATTTTTCTACACTTTTAACCGTTATGATGATTATTGCCTGGTATAAAAGGGTCTTTTACATACATTTTATTTATATTCAGCTGTTTCACATATCACAGCATATCACATCATCATCATTGGGCCATTTATATTGGTGGCAATATTCACACACACACAGAGAGCAATCGAGAATATGTCATCTCCATTTTGGTATCTGCTGGAAAAAAAATTTGTCGGTGCTGCCAATTGCCAGGCAGGTTCTCTTTTGCTCTCCTCTTTTTTTTGCCATTATCCTAGCCACTTAGTGGCTGCTGCTGAGATAATGGTGAGCACAGTTTCGTAGCTTATTCTGCCACCGTGAACAATACCACCACCACCACCACCACCACCGCGACAGTGTTTTTGTTTTACTGCAATGTGAATAAATGCGATGATGCTGCACGAGCACGCAATGCGATTCTGACTTATGTTGCTGCCGTCGTTTCCTTCCGCCTGGCCTTGGCCGTACACACACATTTACACTGAATTTTATTGGCTTTATTCTCTCGCCTTTGCATTCATTCATTCTCTGCCTAGCAGCTGCTCCTTCGCCTGAGCGTCAAACTTTTAAATGGACTGTGACTGGACGAAGCTCTTTCAGTGCAGTAGTAAAATAGCTCAATTGAATAGTAGTAGAAATGTGTGGGTGTCTACTGAGATTGTGCCTGTGCTAATTGTCTCTGTGATTCTCGGTTCATTCAGCCAGCCAACCGCCAAGTGCACACACACACACACACATTTCGGACACTCTGTGCTCTTTGTGCACTTTGGCTGCTGCTGTTGCCAATGCCATTACCACATTACCGCATTACCACCAGTGAATGGGACGCCCAGTGCGTCGCCGAGCCACGAGACAGGGACAGACACAGACACACACTCTACACTTGAGACACGGTCTTTACAAACATTGTCTTTCTGTCTCTGTGTGTGTTGTTCTCTTTGTTTGCCGAGAGAGTTGCTTGTGGTTTGAGTTGGTGTGGTGAAGAAGGATGGGATGGTAAGGCGGTGGTAGTGCACTTATCTCGTTTCACTCTTTTTTCCTGCTCATTTTTTTCTGTTTCGCTGAACCGAATCTCTCAACTTTACTCTCTCATTGCCGCATTTCACATTATACACATTGATTCTCGGCCTTTTAAAACAGATTTTTTCTTTTTTCTTCTTTCTTTCCCTTTTCCTCTTCCCCCTTTCAGATTCTCACCCAGGAGGACTGGAATGTGGTGCTGTTCAACGGCATGGAGCGCACGACGCCGTACGCGGCGCTCTACTTTGTCGCCCTAATGACATTCGGAAATTATGTCCTCTTCAATCTGCTGGTCGCCATCTTGGTCGAGGGATTCTCGCAAGAGGTAAGGGGAAAGAGAAGGAAAATAGGGAAAAGTGATAGAGAGAGAGAGAGAGGAGGAAGCAAGTGTCTCAAAGTTTTTTTATATCGACGGCAAAAAACAAGCGTGTGCTGTGTCTGCACACGCCGGACATACCGTGACACTTATCTCTCTCTCTCTCTCCCCTCCTTTCCTAACCTTTCACTGGCTCACTTTTTACTTTTTCTTTTCTTTTTCTTTTTCTTCTTCCCAGGACGAGCGGAAGGCTTCAGTCTCCGACGAGGAGGAGAAGGCGGAGGAAGTGAAGCAAGAGCGACTGATCTACTTCTACGGACCCAATGATGACTTGGAGCGAGGTAGGTGCACTGCTGCAGCCTTCAATGACAGCGGCAAACTTGGCGGCAAAACTTTTTGCTTTCTTTTCTTTCTCTCTTGCCCTGTTTATCTACTATTAGTTTGGTAGTAGTTGTGGAACATTGCGACAAAATTACTTACTAGCTGTGTCTGTGTGTGTGTGACAAAGAACAATAACAAAAACTTTTCTCTTTTTCCTTTCTTTCCCCTTTTCCCCTTTCCCCCCCTTCCTCAACAAACAAACAAACAAACAAACCAACAAATCAGAAATCGAGACGCTTCACCGGCCCAATGTGGGGGAGTTGGGGCCGCTGCCGACGCTGGTGAAGAGCACCACCGTCGGCTCGAACATTGTTGTCGCCGATGGGATGGCCATGGTCAGGCTGCCTCCCTCCGGTGCCGCTGCCAACTTTGACCAATTTCAGCAGCAGGGACGAACCATTCCAGAGTTTAGCTTTACCACTACGGGTCCAGGAGGAGCAGGAGGAGGAGGAGGAAGTGGCGGCAGTCAACTTGGGACCAACACCGCCGCCGCCGCCGCCGGCGAACTGGGCGACCTGCTGCTAGGCCTGCCGCCGCTGATCATGACCACGGCGGCGACGCCTCAGGGCTCGCCGCCCAACGGACCGGCGGTGGCCTTCTTTGCACTGGACCGGGCGGATGAACAGCAGCAGCAGCAGCAGCAGGCAATGGAACAGGACGCTGAAGAGGAGGGGGAGATGACAGTGGTGGAGGAGAGTGCTGACCGACGACTGCAGCAGCAGCAGCAGCAGCAGCAGCACATGCCGCTCAACCGATCATCGCTGTCCATCAATGAACAGCAGCAGCGTCGAGGCAGCAGTGGTGGCAGTGGCAGTCATTGTGATCAAGAGGGCGTGACGAATAGCGGTCGGCATCACCAGTCGATGGTAAGTAACAGCAGCAGCAGCAGAAGCTATTGTTTTCCCATTGCTTTCTCTTTCTCTCCTTTGTGGTGATGTCACTGGGGCCTGCTCTTTTTGGTGTGACCCCCATCTCCCTCTCACTTTCCTCCTTCTGCCAGTGATTAGCTAATGTGCTCTTTTGCTTTCTCTTCTTTTCTTTTTCTTTTCTTTCCATTTCTTTCTCCTATCTATCTATTTCCCCAGCTGACAGTGCTCGGCGGTGACAATGGCGCCCACCACCGCAGCCACCACGGCCGCCATCACAAGGAGGCCTCATCCGTCGGCGGTGGCGGTGAACGGAAAAAATCTATCAGCCAACTTTTGACGGCGGATTTTTTGACGTTTAGAGGCAGCAGTGGCGGCGGCAACAATGGCAGCTGTGTCATTGACGGCTCCTCATCAGCAGCCTCAGCCTCGGCATTGGCGCTGTCCAGACGGCGGAGCTCCGTCTCCCTGAAGGAGTCGACCTTTGGCGTGATCAATAAGCTCATTCGCGGCAGCAGCACTGACAGTGACCACCATCACCATCACCACTCTCACGGTGAGGGAAAGAAGACGCTCAAATGGCCACCGGAGCTGACGCTGCCGATACGCGATTACAGCAGTAGTGCTGGGGATAGTGGCGGCGGCAAAAGGCATCAGCTATCCTCGGCACTACACCAGGGACCACCACCACCACCACCACCACCACCGCTGGCGTTTCCCCTTCGTCGGGAGCTGAGCTACAATCAGATCAAGAGCAGCTGCAGTCCGCTGGATGATATTGAACAGCAGGCGGCGGCGACGACGACTAAAGAGGCAGCCAAAAGCAGTGACAAGCACCGAAAGCCTTCGCTCAAGACGCGCCGGCAGAGCTTCTTCTCGAGGAGTCACCTCAGCAAGGACGGCAACAGCGGCGGCGGCGGTGGCAGCAAAATTGGCAGCCTCCTGCACATGTCAATGTCCTCCTCCTCCACGGCGGCGGAGAAGGAGGAGAAGGAGAAGGAGGCGGCAGAGGCGGCCGCCTGTCCGATCTACGCCAAGAAGAACGTCGTCCTGCGGCGGAAGAGCGTCTTTGCGTCCGGCGCTCTGCCCTCGCTCAGCTTTGCCGCCTCCTACCACTCGGGGGCTTCCGTTTCGATGGACGTCGAGGAGGGCAATGAGGACGAGGAGGAGGCGGAAGCAGAGGCGGCAGTTGTGGTTGATAGGGACAAAGACGATGAGGAAAGAGGAGGAGGAGGAGGAGGTAGAAGAAGTTTGATCGTCTCGACGACCCCTCTTCAGGAGAGTGTTCAACTCTGCGCTGTGGTCACCTCGCCGGAGTACTCCACCACCACCACCACCACCGAAAGGCCTAGCAGTATTCTCATTTCCGGTGGTGAAGGTGATCATCATCGTCAGCACCCACCTCATCTCCCACCTCATCACCAGNCGGCAGTTGTGGTTGATAGGGACAAAGACGATGAGGAAAGAGGAGGAGGAGGAGGAGGTAGAAGAAGTTTGATCGTCTCGACGACCCCTCTTCAGGAGAGTGTTCAACTCTGCGCTGTGGTCACCTCGCCGGAGTACTCCACCACCACCACCACCACCGAGAGGCCTAGCAGTATTCTCATTTCCGGTGGTGAAGGTGATGATCATCATCGTCAGCACCCTCATCTCCCACCTCATCAATTTCCCTCCTCCTCCTTGTACCACCCAACTACCAATGCCAATCAGCTGGCCCTTCCAAACACCCTATCACCAACAACGGCGGCCAACTTTGCAGCACTAGGCGGCCGAAAGAACTCCATCATCCACGAGATTCGCGTGCTCAGCCCGCGAAACTCGCTCGGCGGCGTCTTCTACAGCAGCAGCGTCATCTCGGTGAAGACGAGCGCCTCCGCCGAGGACGTGAACGACGACATTGAGACGCTGGAGCAGCACCTGCAGGAGGCGACGGCCGCCGCTGAGAGGGGCAAGAAAAACTCGATGCTGCCAAACAACACCGGAACAGGCGGAAGTGGTGGTGGTGGTAAGGGCGGCAAGAACGGCTACGTGCAGCGGATGAAGGAGCACGCCGAGCTGCAGGAACGCATCCGCAAGTTTTGCATCTACTTCCGCTGGACCAGCTGGATGAGCGAGCGAGAGGAGCACTCGCTCTTTCTCTTCTCACCGGAGAACGCCTGCCGCCGGTACTGTCGCTGGCTGGCCGACCACCCGCACTTTGACTACTTTGTGCTCATCTTCATCAGCCTCAACTGCATCACCCTGGCGATGGAGCGGCCGAAGATACCGCCCTGGAGCCGCGAGCGGGAGTTCCTCAGCGCCGCCAATTACATCTTCACGGTAGTCTTTGGCCTGGAGATGCTGGTCAAGGTGGTGGCGAAGGGGCTCTTCTACGGCCGGGACGCCTACTTCCACAACGGCTGGAACATCATGGACGGCTCGCTGGTCGGCATCAGCCTCTTTGACATCTTTCTCAGCTTCTTTGCGCAGCGCAGCCCCCGGATCTTTGGCATTCTGCGCGTCTTTCGGCTGCTGCGCTCGCTGAGGCCGCTTCGGTGAGTTTTGATGAGGAGGGGTTTTTTGTTTGTTTGTTTTCGAAATTACGTTTTACTTTCTATTTTTTGCAGAGTAATTAACCGAGCTCCCGGGTTGAAGCTGGTCGTGCAGACGCTGCTCTCCTCTCTCCGTCCCATCGGCAACATTGTCCTCATCTGCTGTACCTTCTTCATCATCTTTGGCATTCTGGGCGTTCAGGTAAATAGTTTTCAATCTTTTTTTTGAAAAAAATAACTGGAATTTTTTTCGTTTTCTTTTCAGCTGTTCAAGGGCGCCTTGTACTACTGTGGTAAGTAAAAAGAAGGAAAAAGATTTGTCGAAATGGTTTTCATTGTGAAATCTTTTTTCCCCATCTGCAGATGGACCAAAGGCGCACTTTGCGCACAACAAGACTGAGTGCCTCTCCGACCCGCGCAACACTTGGATCAATCGAAAGTACAACTTTGACAATCTCGGACAGGTATTTTAGAGATATTTTCTTTTCAAAACTATTCTAAACTATTTTCTTCCTGTCTTTTTTCCCCAGGCGCTGATGTCCCTCTTTGTGCTCTCCTCCAAGGACGGCTGGGTGAACATCATGTACACGGGGCTGGACGCGGTGGGCGTCGACCAGCAGCCGATTGAAAATTACAACGAGTGGCGCCTGCTGTACTTTATCTCCTTCCTCCTGCTGGTCGCCTTCTTCGTTCTGAACATGTTCGTCGGCGTCGTCGTGGAGAACTTTCACCGCTGTCGGCGGGAGCAGGAGGCGGAGGAGAAGGCGCTGCGGGCGCTGAAGCGGGCGCAGAAGCTGGAGAAGCGGCGGAAGAGTAAGTGGACCACCTTTTTTGGATGATACAAATCTTAACCTCTTTTTTCTCGCTTTAGAAATGCGCGAGCCACCGTACTACATTGGCTACGGCCGCCTACGGATGTCCATCCACCGCATGGTCACCTCCAACTACTTTGACCTGGTCATCGCCTGCGTCATTGGCCTCAACGTGATCACCATGTCGCTGGAGCACTATCAGATGAGGATGGTAAGTACTGATCAGTTTTTTTTGAAAACCCTTTTTGACATCTTTTTCTTTAGGAGCTCGTCTACGCACTGAAGCTCTTCAACTTCATCTTCTCCTCCGTCTTCGTGGTGGAGGCGCTGATGAAGGCTGTGGCCCTCGGCTTGCGTCGCTACCTAAAAGACAAGTGGAACCAACTGGACGTGGCCATCGTCTTCTTCTCCATTCTGGGCATCATCCTCGAGGAGATGGAGTCGACGCTGATACCGATCAATCCGACCATCATTCGGGTGATGCGAGTCGCCCGCATTGCGCGCGTCCTCAAGCTGCTGAAGATGGCCAAGGGCATTCGACAGCTGCTGGACACGGTGATGCAGGCGCTGCCGCAGGTCGGCAACCTGGGGCTGCTCTTCTTCCTCCTCTTCTTCATCTTTGCCGCCCTCGGCACGGAGCTCTTTGGTCGGCTAGGTATGTGCTTTCATTATCTAGGTGCTGTTTAACATTTACTAATAGACTCTATTTTTTGCTGTAGAATGCGACGAGGAGCACCCGTGCCAGGGCCTCGGCGAGCACGCCCACTTTCAGCACTTTGGCATGGCCTTTCTGACGCTGTTCAGGGTGGCCACCGGCGACAACTGGAACGGCATTATGAAGGTGAGGATTAAATTTGAAAACGAAAAGCTCAAAGGTTTAACAAACTCATTTTTTTTCTTCCACTTTCTCGCCAAAGGACACGCTGCGCGACAAGTGCGACCCGTCGAGCGAGTGCCTGAAGAACTGCTGCATCTCCCCGGTGATTGCCCCGATGTACTTCGTCATCTTCGTCCTCATGGCGCAGTTTGTGCTCGTAAACGTGGTGGTGGCGGTGCTGATGAAGCACCTCGAGGAGTCGCACAAGCAGATGGACGAGGACGAGGACCACGAGATTGACCTGGAGATTGCCAAGGAGATCGAGGCGGAGAAGCGGGCGCTGCGGGAGGCAATTGAGCGGCGGCAGCGCGAGCAGACGCTCAAGGACCGCCGGCCGCTGATGAAGATGGCCTCGCTGCCGAGCAACTTTACCTTCTCCTCGCCGCTGGCCTCGCCCAGTGGCGGCGGCGCCTTTGAGGAGGAGCAGCAACTCAAGGTGGTGCAGGAGCAGGAAGGTTTTGCCCTCAGTTCAACTGGTAATCAGCCTTCGGGAGGCTCAAGGAGAAAGAAGAAGCGCTCGGAGCGACATTTGGAGAGTGGTGAACATCTTCCAAAAGGTGGCAATGTTGGAGAAAACAACAACAGCAGTGCCACTCCCGGCAAGCACCCCAATGTGCGGCGGAATCAGAGCTGCGGGCCGAGGACGTGTAAACTACCGACTAAGTCTTCAAATGAGGCTTCAAGTGGTGGCGGTGACTGGCTGACTGAGCACCGAGGTGCTGCTGCTGCTGCTGCTGCTGCTGCTGCACTGAAACCCAGTCTGACCTGTGATTCATTTCACAGTGGAAGTGGCAGTGATAATCAGCGACCGCCCTCGAAGAGCTCCTCAAGTCACCGTCAAAGTCAACGTAATCACCACGGTCATCAACAAAATAATTTGCTCACTACTGATTACTCTTCGGCTGCTGCTGCTGCCGCTCCACCTGCCTCCTCTCCGGGCATTCTCCGAAAGTCGCACAGCCTGCGAGTGACCAAGAGTAGCACCCAAAGCCAAAGCCAAAACCAACGGGCAGCTAATATTGGAAGTCAACAACGCCCTACCTCTTTGATTGGCTCCCTGCGAAAGAATCGGCCCAGCCAGAGGGGAGGCTCCTCTGGAAGCGTCGAAGGAGGAGGAGGAGGAAATATTAGGTCTCAAAACACTGACGAGGAGCTCGCCTTTCTGGAGGCCAACATGGAGGAGGCGGATGAGTGGCCGGAAGAGAATATTCTGTCGGCTAACTGTTTGCACACATCTAAATCGACCGAGGCCATTGGAAGTGGTCATTGCAAGAACAGCAATAGCAACAACAACAGCCACCTCTACTACAACCACCAGTCAGCCTCAAAGGACGGTCGACTTTTGCCACTCCTTCCCCTTACCTCCATCACCACCATCCCAACGGACAGTTCAGATAATATTGTCTCCAGTCCAGTTCGAATCACCATTGATGATGACTGCGCTAGATCCCTCCTTTTAAACCACCCACCACCGCTGCTTCTACCCGGATCTTCTTCTCCTTCTTCTTCTCCCGACGGAAAAGTGGGCCACTCTCATCAACTGCTCACCACGGCCAACACTACGGCCACTACTTCACCCTCTAAGTTTGCTTCCGCTTCAAATGGTGGAGGTGGAGGGAGTAGTCGCCACCGAAAGCTGAGCGACTTTCTCGACGAGGAGTCGGCGCCGCTCAGTCCCGGCCTGCTGGCCGTCTACCCCGAGCTGAGCACTGCCAGCGACCAGCTGACCACGACCACCTTTGAGGATGACCTGAAGCTGCTCGATGACGAGGAGGAGGGAGGGAGGATGATGATGGGTGGTGGTGGTGGTGGTGGTGGTGGGGGTGGTGGCCAGCCGGAGCAGTACAGCCTCGCATCGGCGGAAAGCTGGCCGGAGATGGCGGCCGATGCCGTGGAGTTAAGTGCTGGGGGAAGCAATGTGATCATTGATATGGACTCCACCACCACTTCTGCTTCCACTACATTTCCGGGAACAGGCGGAAACGAGCAAATATGAAATTCTCGATTTATATTTTGAATTTTTTTGAAGGCTTTTTTACGGCGTGAACCAGAACTCGTGGTGCCATCTTTCAGTCTGGCGCCCAGTCCACCACCACCACCACCGCCGCCGCCGCCGCCGCCGCGGTGCTCAACGTTGTCGTCGGCGTCTATATCAAAATCAGCGATGCTGCTGGCTCAATGGGGAGAGAAAAAAGAACTAAAGAGAATCTGGGGGACTTTTGCTGTCCGGTGCTGTCCGCTGAGGTGCGCGCCTGCAAAGGTGACCAAGCTCAGCTCAGCTACATCTGCTTTTCCCTCATTTTTCTGCCCCCCCCCCACCTCAAACGAAGCTTACTCTCAGTCGCGGTAGTAAAAATGAGGGAGAGGNCAGTCTGGCGCCCAGTCCACCACCACCACCACCGCCGCCGCCGCCGCCGCGGTGCTCAACGTTGTCGTCGGCGTCTATATCAAAATCAGCGATGCTGCTGGCTCAATGGGGAGAGAAAAAAGAACTAAAGAGAATCTGGGGGACTTTTGCTGTCCGGTGCTGTCCGCTGAGGTGCGCGCCTGCAAAGGTGACCAAGCTCAGCTCAGCTACATCTGCTTTTCCCTCATTTTTCTGCCCCCCCCCCACCTCAAACGAAGCTTACTCTCAGTCGCGGTAGTAAAAATGAGGGAGAGGGGGTGGCTGAAATGAAAAAAAATATTTCTTCTGGGCAGCTGAAAACGATCCATTCTCTCTCTTTCTCCTTCTCTCTCCCCACCCTCAGTACCATTTGTATCTATATCTGCCATNTCAGTCGCGGTAGTAAAAATGAGGGAGAGGGGGTGGCTGAAATGAAAAAAAATATTTCTTCTGGGCAGCTGAAAACGATGCATTCTCTCTTTCTCCTTCTCTCTCCCCACCCTCAGTACTATTTGTATCTATATCTGCCATCACCACCACCACCACCATCATCATCATACATTCATGCATACATGCACACATTCAGCCGGCATTGAATCGAACACTGATACCTGCTCGTGTCGTACATGGACACAAGCACAGACTGCTGCTGCAAACATTGTACATAGACACGAACATTGTCAGAGGGGAGGGAAGGGCTTTTCAATGTCTCTGTCTGTGTGTGCGCTTATGAACGACCAAAAAAGATCATAAACCGTCTTTTCCTTTTTCTTCTGTCCCCTTTCCTTCTTTTCTCATGATGCTGTACAGTCTTTCACTTTCATTTTCATGTTCACCCTCTCTCTTTCACTTGCACACTCACACACACTCACTCTTGTGGTGCTAGCTCTTTTTTAATTGCCTCTATCTTCTTCTTCTTCTTATTTTGTTGCTGCTGCTGATCACTTTCACACACACACACACACACACACTGTTCATATTACCGATACTTTACTCTGTTATAAAGGTCTATTGCAATTGTTCGTGAGGGAGAAAGACCGAATTCTTTCTCTTCACTCTATCTCTATCTATCTTTTTGCCGCTCTGAGCAGTTTCTGCCGTCTGTCTGTCTGTATTACAGTGCTGCTCTGCTCTGCTCTGCTCTGAGTGCCGGTGTCTGTGCAGACACAGAACTGCTCCGGATCGCATTGGATCGCAAAGGTGTACGGTGCTTTTCTCTCTCTTTCGGCGACCGTTCCTGCTGATTTCTCTTCTTCTGTTCTGTTCCGTCCGTGTGCATCCGTTCTCTCTCTCTCTCTCTCTCTCTCATTTTCGTCCGCTTCATCAGCCATCTCGTTCCTTCTCTGGTGGAAAGCATAGAGCACACACACACTTATCGCCTCCTTCGCATCCGTTCTACCGTTCAGCGAGGTGCCTGCTCTTCTCTCCTACCTTACTCTTACTCCATCGCTACCTACCTAGCTAGGCACTCACGTTACGGTCAGAGAGCAGAAAAGAGAGAGCATGAGAAAGAGAAACTGCGGCGGCCGTGGTTGCTGCTGCTGCTGGCCAATCAGGCAGTCAGCAAGGTAAGATGTCTCTCTTTCAGTCTCAGTCTTTCGCTCCATTTGCTCGCTGAGAGCTGCTGCTGAGACACTGCGTTTCCTTTACTTTTCTGGTGCATGGTTTCCTCACTCACGGCCTCGTCCGCGATTCCTTTCAGCGGCTGCTGCTGCTGCTGCTGTCGCCTCTTCTTCTGTGTCTTCTTCCTACCTTCCTTCCTACCTACCTGAAAATTGCCTTCAATGTGGAGCACCTAATGTGGCACACACACACATAGACACACAGACATGCTCATCTACACCAATATCTGCCTCTTTTTGAGTGGTCGGAGTGCACATTACGACGACGACGAGGAGGAAAAGAGGAAGAAGAGAGGAAATAGAATGGATGGCAGAATGAGAGAGAGAGTGAGCCAGTGACCAGGAGGCCCTGAGCTCACGTCAGGCACTACTGAAGAAGTGTCCTCACAAGAAAGTGAAAGTGAAAAGCTTTGATTTTCAATTTTTTGTTGTTGTTGTTTTCACCACTTCAAGCTCAACTTTTTTTCCCTTCAACTCTCGTCCTGTTCATTATCGTCTGGGAANAAAGAGGAAGAAGAGAGGAAATAGAATGGATGGCAGAATGAGAGAGAGAGAGAGAGAGAGAGAGAGAGAGAGTGAGCCAGTGACCAGGAGGCCCTGAGCTCACGTCAGGCACTACTGAAGAAGTGTCCTCACTGGAAAGCGAAAGTGAAAAGCTTTGATTTTCAATTTTGTTGTTGTTGTTGTTTTCACCACTTCAATCTCAACTTTTTTTCCCTTCAACTCTCGTCCTGTTCATTATCGTCTGGGAGCCTATTTTTCCATTCCCCACTTCAGCACATGTCGATCAGCTCGATTCGAACGCTGCGCCTGCTGATGCCGCTCTCCGCGGCGGGCAGCTCGCTGACGCAGCTGGCGGCCATCTTCACCAACCACTGGCTCTTCACGATGGAGCTGATGCCCAATGAGAAGTACGAGCGCTTCAAGATGCCCCCGGAGATGGAGTACCTGCGCAAGTACACCGAGTCGGGCATGCTCCAGCTCTGCCAGAATCAACGTAAGTGAAAAGATGGGGTGATGATCAAGTGGTTCCCCAGGGACAGCTCAGGCTCACTCTAAACCTTTGTTTACCTTTGATATACCTGATCCAGCGCCCAAGTCAGAGATGCACTGCGCCTACATTGACTACCTCAGCAAGGAGGAGTACATTCCCGACCAGAATGACTCTACCATGGCCATTCCCTGTAAGAGGATCATCTCCTTATCTGATCTGATCTGATCACATCTTTCTCTCAAAGCATTGACCTACTTTCTCCCCAACTTTTGCAGACTCAATGCGCCGCGCAGCTTGGTACATTGTCGCCAGTGTGCTGATCCTTCTGCTCGGCGAGCTGCTGTACGCCTGTCGGAAGATGTGCGGCCGTCGTCGGCAGATCTGCACCTTCATCGCCGGCATTGCCTTCATTCTCGCAGGTAGTTGGATCCCTCCATTACCTCTTTTTTTAATCTTGATCTAAAACACTATCACCCAAAAACTGTCCAGGACTGACCATCCTCGCCGGCCTCGTCGTCTACATCTCCACCTTCAAGGGGGAGGTGAGCAACAAACTGCGGCCGCTCTCGGAGTTCCAGGACGCCCTCTTCCACTACCGCTACGGCGGCAGCTTCCTCCTGCTGGTGGCCAGCCTCCTCCTCTGCGAGGTGACCGGAACGCTGGCCGTCTTCCTCTACATCGCTCAGCGGCAGTTCAAGATCGACATTGACACGGAGCGAGAGGAGGTGCTCAAGCGAAATCTCCTCAGTCTGATGCTGCCCGACCTGAAGGGCATTTCAGGCGACGGAAGTGGTGGTGGACCTAAGCGGACCTCCCACGACAGCGCCATCACTCGGGTGCAGCCCATGCTGCGCATCGTCTGCGAGGATGAGGACGGAGTTCCGGTTCCGGCGGGGCCGATTGCCTTCACCACCACCTCGCCGGTGGTGGACCACAACTTTCTCAGCGCCGAATTTGGCCTCTCTGATCCGGCGATGTATTTTTATGGAAGACATGGCTCGAGGGGGCGGCGGAACAGTCGATCGAATGAGTCATTTCTGGGCTCTTCGCCAGGCGGGTCGGAGCAGAATCGGTCGCGGAAGAATAGCTTCACTTCGGCGACGGATGAAAGGGTGGAGGTGGTGGAGCAGCAGCACCTTCCGGCGCCTCCGCCTCCTCCTCCTCCTCCTCCTGCTCAGCATCCAAACCCAAACTTGAAAAAGATGCTTGGCAGCAAGCAGAAATCGGTGGACCTGCCCGCCATCACCGTGGGCCGTCACCACTCGCCGCCTCCATTTATTCCCAAATCATCCACCTCATCGTCGTTTCACCCTCGGGACTCGATGGACTGTCCAGGACCGCCAGGACTGATGGAGCTTCATGTGCCCTCGTTGATTCAGCGGCAGCAGCAGCAGCAGCATCAGCAGCAATCGATGAGTTTCCGGCAGCCTGCCGTTAAAGCAATGGATGAGCCTCCAAACAAACAGTCGATTTACGCCTCCTCCTCCTCCTCCTCCTCAAAGAAGACCCGTTTCCAGCGATACGGCCAACAACAGCAGCAGCAGCAACAACAACAGATGACGATGAGGAGTGAAAGCGAGGAGCTGGTGGAGAGCATTCCCTACTTTCTCCCACTGTCAAATCTGGAGCATTCTAACAATCACAATCACAGCGGCATAGCTTCTAGAGATAAGTCCTCCAATGCACCGCCTCGAAACCGCCTCACCAAGCAGATGAGCCTAAATATCAGCCACAGCAACAGCAACAGCAGCAACAACAATCCCAATCGGTCGACCTACGTTTGAACTGTCTTTCTGAAGCAAAACCTCTTCTTTCCGATGATCTTTCTTTTGACCACTGCCAATATCTCCGCAAACATAGCTCATCCACCCCGACTCAGCACTATCACTACCACTACCACTTTTCACTCACTCACTTGCTCACTGCAGACAAAAAAAGAAGGAAGATTAGGCTCTAATTATATTGATGGTGATGAGGATGATGAAATATTAATCAAGAGGAGGAGGAGGAGGAGGTGAATGTAATGAGCAAATGTCGACGGCGACAGCGAAAAAACGGCAAAAACAGAAAAGTCATTACCATGTCCAGAAAAGCACCACCACACTCTCTGCACAACTCTCTTCAATTATTAAGTGTTCTCTCTCTTCTTCCTCCTGCACCACATTAGTCACCTGGAGAGTTTCTGCTGGTGATTAGGTGAAGAGAGAGAGAGAAAAACCAGAATACAAACACACAAACACACTGCACGCACAGCCTTACTTCTTTTTGTACACTACTCAAGCGTTGACCACACACACACACAAACACACCAACACTGGACAATACGGAGTGAGTTATAGCTCGGTTGTCGTCGACGGCGACGATGACCAACTGCTTCTAATACTGTTTATTACTACACTGTACTAAATAAAAAACGTTATTTCTTCACATATAAAAAATCTTGAAGATTCTAAATGTATGCAGAATGCAATTTTTTTTAGAATTTTCCTGTTTGCCCTTTAAAAGCAAAGTGCAAGTTTATTAGCCTGAAATCTGAATGCGTTACTCAATTCTCTAATCTGCGGTGCTGTTTTCTGTTAATGTAATTTTTAAATTTGATGATTATCAGTTTTGTTGAGCAAAATCTGACACTAGATAGAAAAATTATCAAAATTTACAATTTTAAAGTCGCCGCATCTCTTCGCTCTGCAGCATCTTCATAGAGCACACACTAGTCACGTGACACACGTGTGTGCAGCGGCTGCCCTTTCTGGTGACGGCGCCTGCCAAAGCAGCCGCAAAGCAGCAGCCAGTCGCCAGCTGGTCATGCGCAGGGCTCGTGCGTTCTGTCATTTGCCGTTCTTTCCTTCCCTCTCACACACTTCTTTTTCAGTTGTCTGTTTTGCCCTTGTCAGAGAAGAGCCGCCGTCGTCGTAGCAGCTGCAGNGCAGGGCTCGTGCGTTCTGTCATTTGCCGTTCTTTCCTTCCCTCTCACACACTTCTTTTTCAGGTGTCTGTTTTGCCCTTGTCAGAGAAAAGCCGCCGTCGCCGTAGCAGCTGCAGCAGCAGAAACAGAAGCAGCCACTTTGCGTCCAGTCTTCAGACAGTCACCACAACAGTCATCCTCCTCATCCTCATCGTCACCCCTTTCACCCTCAACGCCACCAAACACCCTCCCAAAAGTCATGGCAGCCACTCCGAAGCAGCCCGTCTGTCTGATCGTCATCGACGGCTGGGGCGTCTCCGAGGAGGTGCACGGCAATGCGATTGCCAACGCGGAAACGCCCGTCATGGATGAGTTCGCGAAGCACGGCAGCCCCGAGGAGGGCCACTACCTGACGCTGGACGCCAGCGGCCTGGCGGTCGGCCTGCCCGCCGGCCTCATGGGCAACTCCGAGGTGGGCCACCTGAACATCGGCGCCGGGCGGGTCATCTACCAGGACATTGTGCGCATCAACCTCGACTGCGAGAGCAAGGTAGGAGGAGTGGTGGTGGTGGTGTTGTTGTTGTTGCGTCATGTGACACTGGCTTCTATTTTCTATTTTACTACAGGCGATCCACAAGAACGCCAACTTTGTGGCCGCCTGCGAGCGCGCCAAGACCGTCTCCGGTGGCCGCCTGCAGCTGCTCGGCCTAGTGAGCGACGGCGGCGTCCACGCCCACATTGAGCACCTCTACTCGCTGCTGGAGGGCGCCAAGGTGAACGGCGTCCCGACCACCTACGTGCACTTCTTCTCCGATGGGCGTGACACCAGCCCCACCTCGGGGGCGGGCTTCGTGCAGGCAGTCCTCGACCGATGCAAGGCCCTCGGCTACGGGTCGCTGGCCACCATCATGGGCCGCTACTACGCGATGGACCGCGACAAGCGCTGGGAGCGCATTCAGCTGGCGGTGGAAGGCCTGGTGGACGGCGTCGGCGAGAAGACCACCCCCGAGGAGGTGGTCGCCGTGGTGAAGAAGAACTACGCCAACAGTGAGTACAGCGAAACAAAACAAAACAAAACAAAGCAGTTTCTAAATGGCAGCAAAATAACGTTGTTTATCCTCGTAGACGTCACCGACGAGTTCCTCAAGCCGATCATCGTCAACTCGGAGGGACTGCTGCGCGACAATGACACGCTGGTCTTCATCGACTACCGCGCCGACCGCATGCGCCAGATTACCGAGACGATCGGCATCAAGACGCCCTTCGAGAAGGCGAACATGCCCAAGGGCCTGGAGCTCTTCACCATGACCGAGTACAAGAAGGAGTTCCCCTTTCGCCAGCTCTACCCGGCCACCGTCCCCAAGAACGTCCTCGCCGAGGTGGTCAGCGCCGCCGGCTGGCCGCAGTTCCACACCGCCGAGACGGAGAAGTACGCCCACGTCACCTTCTTCTTCAACGGCGGCCAGGAGAAGGCCTTCCCGGGCGAGGAGCGCCAGCTGGTCTCCTCGCCCAAGGTGGCCACCTACGACCTCCAGCCGGAGATGAGCTGCGCCGGGGTGGGCGAGGCGGTGGCCGCCGCCGTCGCCACCAAGAAGTACCCCTTTGTCATGTGCAACTTCGCCCCGCCCGACATGGTCGGCCACACCGGCAAGTACGAGCCGGCGGTGAAGGCCTGCGCCGCCACCGACCGCGCCATCGGCGTCATCAAGGCCGCCTGCGAGGCCGCCGGCTACGCCCTGCTCATCACCGCCGACCACGGCAACGCGGAGAAGATGTACGACGACAAGGGCGGCCCGCTCACCTCGCACACCACCAACCGGGTGCCCTTTGTGCTGCACAACACCACCCGCCAGTTTGCCATCCCGCCCGACCACAATGCCGCCCTCTGCGACGTGGCGCCGACGGTGCTCGACCTGCTCGGACTGGCCATTCCCGCCGCCGACATGACCGGCAAGTCGCTGCTTAAGAAGTAGGTGGTAGTGTGTGGTCTTCAGGTGGTAGTAGTCGAGATCACAACAACCACAACAACTCCCCACACTCTGTCCAGTCAACTGAAAAGTCAACAAATCGGCAAACATGTTTGCAATTGTCTTTCCTCTCTTGATGTATTCTCGTAATCTCTCTCTTTCTTCTTATCTTCTTATCTTCTCCTTAGACTGTCTTTTTCCGGTTTGATGTGTGTCCGTGTATTTTATTAAAGCGATCCAGGAATCCTTTTTCTCGGGTTTTTCTGAATTTGCTGTGGACGGGCAATGAACTCATTTCCACACAAGAGGGTGGTCAGCCTTGGTGGCTGGGTGTCAATAGCGGCCGCCTGAATGTTTAGCTCAGCTTTCACATAGACTGATTTTTTGCGCCGAATTGGCGAGCTACATGATTTTGTTA